CCATGTAATGCGCCTTGAAGATAGGCGGCAAACCATGTGGCCCCTTCACCTTGAAGATCCACATGCTGTCGACTATATTTGCCCGGGAAGGGAGAACAGCGTCGCCGTAAGTGCATGCGGACCTCCAAGATGCCATCTCTGCGTCCATGCCTGCTATCCACTGAGAAGCTCACTCTCCCGAGACAGCCTCAGTGTAAGTACGAGGGGTCGGGATGTCAAAGGTATCTTGACCACCCTAAAAAACGAGCAACATGGCGTAGAGGTCAGGAGCGGCGGCCACAAAGAACTCCATCTCGAATTAACTGTCCTCAAGAACGTCCAAGTCAAAGCAGGAGCACCCGGTGGCGTACTGAGGATCAGCAAACTTAGAGATTAACTAAGAGGCATAGTTAAGGCGACGAGTGGAGGCAAAATCAGCTACACCAGCAACAAGAGCAGAGACACACTGTGAAGGAGCACTAGGGTAAGTTACTAGGGAGGAATTGATCTGAAAGACCGTGGGGCTGGTGGCACGAAGGAGGTCGGAGAATGAAGGAGGGGACACAGGAGGAGACGACCGAGGGGCAAAGGGAAAAACAAGAGGCGGAACATAAGGGGGAGAAGAATGAAGACTCATAGAGTGAAAGCCAGGAACAGGAGACGAGTGACGAGCACTAGGTGCATGACGAGTTGTCCAAAGACCAGAGGCAAGAGACGGGTCAGGACGAAGAGGAGGATATAGAGGAGAACGAGAAGAAGAACCTGCCGGAGATGCATCCAAGAGGGGCAGTAGGGGGAAGGTGGGATGCTCACTGTCCGTGGAAGGGCAAGGAAGACCAAGTACGACCTGGCACAGCTGGTGGTATGGCTGCCGGTGCTGCTGCTGCTGCTGCTACGGCTCTTGTTGCACGTCGCGGGGTCACGACAGCACCCCTAGAACCAGCACCTCCAGCTCCAGCACCCCTAGAACCAGCACCTTCAGCCCCAAAACCAGCTCCTCCAGCTCCAGCACCCCTAGAACCAGCACCTTCAGCCCCAATACCCCCAGAACTAGCACCTCCAGCTCCAGCACCCCTAGAACCAGCACCTCCAAGTCCAGCACCTCCAGCTCCAGCACCCCCAAAACCAGCACCTCCAGCATCAGCACCTCCAAGCCTAGCACCTCCAGCTACAGTTCCTCCAGCTCTAGCACCCCCAAGACCAGCACCTCCAGCATCAACACCCCAGGACTAGCATCTCCAGTGGCTGCACCCTCCGTAACTGCACCTATGGTACCCCCAAATTCAGTAGTAGTTGGCCGCGGTGACGACAACTACTACGGCGGTAACGAAACCTGCTGCGGTGACTACGAGGAGGAGGCAGAGGAAGGCAAAGACTTAGGGGTGACCAGCGACACACCAGACGGGGTAGGACGCTGTGGGTGGGAAGCTACTGAGGGAGTGGGACTAGAGGGAGGGTTGGGAGTCAGGAACAAGGGGCCAGAGACAACCGGGAGACCTTGGTGGGGGTTATGAGTGTAGAAACAGACTGACTCGTCAAAGGTTACGTCACGTGAGGTGAAGAACCAGTGAGACGAGGGGTGGGAAAACTGACAGGGGGCGGCGTCTACGGGGAAACGGAGGAAGACACGCCTTCCCGTCCTCGTGAAGACACATCTTCGCGTAGTGAAGCTGGCTGCCAAGGGTTTTGTGAACCCACCACAGCTGCGTCCCTCTCGACGACGTTCTCACGACCTTCGTGGCTTCCGCCATTTCCTCCGCCGTGAGCCGCTTCAGGACCCGCTCTTTCCAGTCATCGCACAGCGCCTTCCGGACTTCCTCGGCTACTTCCGCAGCCTGTTTGCTGCCCAGGTCCCGCGCCAACCGTCCAGGCGACTTCCAGCTTCTGGTGCCATCTGCCCACTTCATGAGCAGGTCTCCCACCATAATCTCGCGAAGGGCCTCATCCCCTTTTCGCCGCCCGAAGGGGTAACCGCTCTCACGCAAGATATGCCTGTTGAAAAGCACCCGCTCCTTTTCAATGTCCCATCTGTTCCCGACCACCAGGTTCTTGACAACCGGCGATGACATTACTGCGGTCGCGATTGCTTTCCAACTATCACTCCCCGTGCCCCATGCCTTCAGCAGTGCCTCGTGTGCCAGGAGGGAGGCATATCCAAGCGGGAAATTCGCGGCTCGTTCCGCCAACAGCCGCCGTTGCGGCATCTCCTCCGTAAGTAGTTGCGCCAGCGAGTGAAGCGCTTTTGCGTCCAGCCGGTCCTTGAGGTTTATCACCCCGACTCCCCCTTCTTCCCTTCCGAGTTGCATGAGATCCCCATTCCAGAGTATGAAGCCCGGCTCTGAGCTCGCCCGTCCACCAGAGACAAAGGCGTGGCACACCCTCCTCAGCTCCTCCCATATCGTGTCCGGCGGAGGGTAGATTTGCGCCTGAAAAAGCGCGATGGGCATGACGTACGTGTTAACCACCGTCACCCGTGCCGTGGTGGTGAGAAATTTCGCCTCCTTCCGCTTCCATCCTGCTCAACGCTTTTCTCCATGACGGTTTCGCGTCTCCCCCCGGTGTGATCCAGACCCCCAGCAGGCGCTCCGGGTCATCACGCGACGCCCATTTGAAGGCCCCGTCCGCTGGCGGCGGTATATCCCGTTGACTCCCCAGCGGCAGCACCACCGACTTGTCCCAGTTAACCGCCAGCCTTGACACTTGCTCGAACTCCTTGAGCAGCAGCTCAGCATCCCCCAGCTGCTAGCGACCGTTCAACAGTAGGGTGGTGTCGTCAGCATACCCCAGGTAAGTCAGCTTTCCTGCTCCCTTGACATTGATCCCTAACCACCTCCTCTTCGCCTCCTGGCAGAAAGGCTCCACCGCGCACAAGAAGAGGTATGGCGCGAGGGGGCAGCCTTGCCTCACCCCAGTCTGGACCGGGACCTCTCCCAGCCAACCGTCATTGCAGATGCGAGTTGCTGCACCTTGATGCAGGCCTTCTACCCACTTCACGTAGACTTCCGGGAAGCCCATCTTCCGTAGCACCTCAAACAGGTATCCGCGCGCCACCGAGTCAAATGCCTTGCGGAAATCCACCACGAGCATGAGCCAGTCCTCCTTCCCAGCATTCGCCGCGTCGATCACATCCGCCGCAATTGCCACCACGCCAGCAATACCCCTTCCAGGTAAGAAACTAAATTGCCCGGCCGACACCACGCTCTCCAGCTTGCTTTTTATCCGGTTAGCCAGTATCTTTGCGATGAGCTTGTAAACTGTGCTCAGCAGCGTAATCGGGCAGTAGTTCTGTAGATCGTCCTTGGCCCCCTTCTTATGCAGCAGCACCGTCACTGCAGTCGAAAACTCCTTGGATAGCAGTCCCGTTTGCTCAAATTCCTTCAGGAACCGCATCATCTGCCCCCCCAACAGGTCCCACTGTGACTCCCAGAGCTTTTTCGGGAGACCATCACGCCCCGGAGTTTTGCCAGGCGCCATCTCCGCCAGCGCGCGCTTGACCTCCGCTTCTTCCCAAGGCGCACTGAGCTCTACCGCATCCTCTGGGGAGAGTCGCTTATCCACCGGCCAGCCCAACTGTGAGTCCGCACCGGCCGCGAAAAGCTTAGTGTAAAAATCTGACGCAGCCTTCAGCGCCTCCTTAGCCCCTTCATACCAGGAGCCCTGGTAAGATATATCCACCAGCGCCTCCTTCCGTGCCTTTATCCAGGACGAGAGGAAACATGTGGGAGCCTCGCCGTTCATTTCCACTTTGATTCCTGCCTGCTCCTGCATCTTACGGCGCCTTCCTTCCACGTAGGCTTTAAGTTTGGCTTCACACTTCGCCAGACGCGCCTTCGCCCGCGAGCACCGAGGCCTGCTCATCACCTGCTGCCTCAGCTCCCCGACTTCACGTTCAAGGTGTGCCGTCGTGGCCGCTACTCGCTTCCGCTCTTCCACCGTGTAAGCCTTGAGGCCCACCTTCAGAGAGGTCATCAGCGATTCCAGATCTCCCCCTCTCTCCGTGTTTTTCCGAACAATCTGCTCCACCCGCCGCTGTACCCCTGGCCGCGGCACTTGAGACGTCGGCAGCCTCCAGAGGCCCGGGCCTGATTCCCCTTCCCCCCCTGCGCTGAGCTGCAGATGAACCGCAGACCAGTGATCTGTGAACCTTTTGACCAGCCCCACATGCCGCACCTCGTGAATCTGGTGGAGCAGCGCCTGCGAGAGGAGGATCCTGTCGATCCTTGTGCTCTCCTGCACCGCCGTCGCATAGAAGGTGTACTCCCGCAGGCAGGGATGGAGCGCCTTGAAGGCATCTCGGACATCGAAGCTGCTACAGATTGACATTAACTGGTCATTTTCCCCTCTGGAGCCGATCCCCGACGTCTTGTCCAGTGCTGGATCCTCAATGACATTCAGGTTGCCGGCCAGCAACAACTGACTTCCGGCAGGTATCGCCGCCAAAAAAGGCCGAAGCACATCGCGGAAGAACGGGGACCGCGCCGTTGGGCTCGCCGGGAAATAGGCCGCAACAACCGTCACCGTCACGCCACACCATGTCATGGTTACCCGCGCCAGGCGGCCTGAGACGTCCTTGACTACATCCGAGCAGGACACTTCACTATTGCGTAAGACTATCGCCACTCCCCCGGCCCTTGCTGTAGGAGTCGCCGCTACAACCAAGTCTGCCTGCACTTGATTCCAAAAGCTGTGATCCCCCGAGATCCGTGTGTCTGCTAAAATGGCTATGTGAGCACCGTCTCTTATCCATTCTTACACGTCTTGTTGCTTCGGCCAACTGCTGAGACCGTTGACGTTCAGCACGTTAAAGGTGAGGGTGGTGTGTTTACCCATTTAAAACCTGCAGTGTCTGCACGAATCCCGTACAGCTTCTTCGCCGCGTGCAGACTCTGCTTCGCCTTGACAGCACGGGTTGCCACACCAGCCGAACCCAACGCCGGACCATGGCTGAAGGAGCTGATGTGAGCCGCAGCTTGAGCAAAGGTGTCTCCATGCGCCCGCTCGCAGCACTCCTGAACACACAGTCATTCCTCCACATTGGCTCCCGTCGAGATAAGGACCAACGCAGGGTCGCGGAGAATCTTCCTCACCACCCCTGCCGACTGGAGGGAGGCCGCTGCAGGGGACACCCATCACACCACCGTCAGTAAGTAGAGAAGGAAAGACTATGCACCGACAGCAACCCCGCAGTGAGATCCCGCCCCTATTACCGTTGATCGAGTGGACCCTGCCTAAGGACAAGTTCCAGTTGCTGATGTTGTTACGACGCTCATGCACATACTCATCATGCAACTTATCCATATGCGGTCCCTGGCAGAAGCAGCAGGACAGCGATGGATAATGCACGAGGTACGTCACGTCACTGAGCGGGTCTTCCACCACATGTCGCCAGCGGTATTTGTCCCCCGGGTGCGGGACCACCAAGCCGCGAATCTTGTCCGTGTCCAGGCCCGAAATCGGATCCACCACACGGTGAAAACCCGCGCCTTGCAGGAACGCCGACCGACCGCGCTTCTGCAGTTTCGCAACCACCAGCGATTCGTAAACAATGAGCGGTGTAATTTCCACCGGGACACCCTTCAGCAGAACCTCCACCCCTTCCGGCAGGTCAGTCTTCGCTTTCACGTAGGCACGATTCACCGGATGCAACCAGCCGAAGTGATGCTTCGTGGTTCCAACCACATGCTCCACCCGGTGCTGACGCACCACCTCCGCATCCTCAGCAGTCGCAAGCGTGACTTGCAGACGGCTGAAATGAACCTTGGACAGGTACGTCGGAACTGAAATGCGATCTCGTCAAGGGCCTTGTCCGACAGCTTTTTCCGTAAGAAGACCAGCAAGGCTTTCACCGAAGGCTTCACCGCAGGCATCTCCTTTGCCAGCTCGAACGGGATCATGAGCGTCAGCGTGACGCGCGCCTTAGCCGCCAGCGCACCCTTGGTTTGCACTTCAATGCCCTCGTCCGAGTCATCGCTTAAGTAACCATCGTCATCATCATCTTCATCATCTTCCCCTCCAGCAGGAGCAAGTGCAGATGGTTCCGCGGACGTCGGCGCCACCGGCTCCAGCACACGCGACCCTGAAGCCAACGGAGCTGACGGAGCCACTTGGCCTTCAACCGCAGAAGCAGTGGAGGATCCAGCACCCACTTCCACGCCAGCCGTCGGCTCCACCGGCGAGACAGTCTGACCTTCCAGCGTCGTCATGGTAGCAGCAGCCTTCGTCGCCCTGGTCAAGATCGGCATACTTGTGCAGACGGAGCGTAAGGCGTGAAGAGTACTGAATGATGAACCAGTATAGACCAGCATTATATAGAATATCAGCCTCTTCCTTGACTTCCATTCCCAAGGAACTCCCAAGTTTTGTGAACACCAAGGAGACCATTGCTCTTGATTGTGGGTTGAACACCTGGCGAGATGTGAGTGATCCAGGTCAGGATCAGGAAGCCTATTTGGCTCGAATTTGATCAGTAGATGCCAGCTCATGCAACGAAGACACCAAGACTGGGAAAGGCACCTAGGAAATACCCTCGGTCCATGAGGGAGGCCTCTATGCGACTGCCTGACAGAACCTAGGTCTGACAATGACGATTTACCTGGAACTCAATAAGCATGAAAGATACCCGCCTGATGGGTACAATTTGTATGTCTGCTTATAGAGGATCTCAAGCTGCATCGATTGGTGTAGTCTATGTCAAAAATAGGTGTCGTAAGCCTAGACATTGTTCGCTCCGAAGCGCACGACAGGATCCATGGCGGCCTTAACATCACGTCTAGGTTAAACTGCCCATATAGTTTCATGAGCCCTGTTGTGAGTGTCGAGTGTGTCTAGGGCTTGAGTTTGTTGACCAGCCCCTTTGACCAATTTCGCACTGGTCAAGGCTCGAAGCCATGAGCCCGAGCTCTGTTGCGCAATCATGCGAAAAGCGCCAAAAGGCCGAAGGGTGCCAGTCGAGGCACACGCTCGGCCTGAGGGCCGCAATTCAATTGCTGCCACACGCGCGAGTGTGGCAGTGAGGTGGCGCGTTGGATAAGACAGGTGCGCGTGGGTCCACAATTGAATTTGTGGAACCCTCGAGCGTTTTGTCTTCATCTTCCGAGAAGAAATTTTCGCCAGGGAGTTTTGTGACGTGCAAATTTCATTTCGAAGTTGTCAGATTTATATGACATAGTTACTGTAGGCTATAGTGGGGTGGCACATATGGGGTACAGTTTTCTAGGGTTTGCTTTTTTGTACCCAACTTTCACTTAGTCATTTCATTCCTCGCTTCTTCTCATGGTATCGAGCAGGTTCCCTAGTGGGAACGATTCCTAGGGCCCACCACCACGAAATTATTTTTTTTCCTGCCCGGAGCGCGTTTTGCTCCGGCCCGAGTCGCGCCGCCCCTACGGCCCTTCGCGCCGCCCTTTCGGCCCGTCGCGCCCGTCGCGCCCGTCGCGCCCGTCGCGCCCGTCGCGCCCATCGCCACCTTACGCGGCCCCGCCACCTACCTTCGCGGCCCCGCCACCTACCTGTGCGGCCCCGCCACCTACCTCCGCGGCCCCGCCACCTACCTGTGCGGCCCCGCCACCTACCTTCGCGGCCCCGCCACCTAACTGTGCGGCCCCGCCACCTACCTCCGCGGCCCCGCCACCTACCTGTGCGGCCCCGCCACCTACCTTCGCGGCCCCGCCACCTACCTGTGCGGCCCCGCCACCTACCTCCGCGGCCCCGCCACCTACCTGTGCGGCCCCGCCACCTACCTTCGCGGCCCCGCCACCTAACTGTGCGGCCCCGCCACCTACCTCCGCGGCCCCGCCACCTACCTGTGTGGCCCCGCCACCTACCTCCGCGGCCCCGCCACTTGCCTGTGCGGCCCCGCCACCTACATGCGGCCCCGCCACCTACTAGCGGCCCCGCCACCTACCTGCGGCCCTGCCGCCTCCTCTCAGCGGCCCCGCCGCCTCCTCCCAGCGGCCCCGGACGCCGCCCTCTCAGCGGCCCCGCCGAGCCGCCCAGCAACCAAGCCGCCCAGCCGCCGAGCCGCCCAGCAGCCGAGCCGCCCAGCAGCCGGGCCGCCCAGCAGCCGAGCCGCCCAGCAGCCGAGCCGCCCAGCAGCCGAGCCGCCGAGCCGCCGAGCAGCCGAGCCGCCCAGCAGCCGAGCCGCCGAGCCGCACTACAGCCGAGCCACCCGAGCCGCCCTGTCCGGTAAGAGCAGCGCCCCTTTCACAGCACTGCCCTCACCCTACTGTTTGCGCTGCTAGTCTACTGCTGTCATGGCTACCCCTAGTGTCCTCGCTTTTGACGCTGAGGGTCGGGCCATTGACTTTGACGTCTGGATAGATGACCTGCAGCTTTTCTTACAGTGCGACAGGGCAGACGGCCTCTCCCTCTTTGACCTCACTTCTGGTGCCTCTCCTGCCCCCGCTGCTGATGCTGACGCCACTGTTCGCTCCCAGTGGGCCACACGCGATGCTGCTGCACGTCTTGCTGTGCGTCGCCACCTACCTACCTCTGAGCGTGCGCACTTTAGCCAGTACAAGAGTGCTCAGACCTTGTACGACGCTGTAGTTGCGCGCTACTCCTCCCCTGCCACTGCTGCACTTAGCCGCCTCATGCTACCGTACCTCTTCCCTGACCTTGCTGCCTTTCCCACAGTCGCTGACCTCATTACGCACCTCCGCACTAGTGACACTCGCTACCGCGCTGCGCTTCCTGCAGAGTTCTGCGCCAAGAACCCCCCCCCCATGTACATCACCCTCTACTACATAGTCACCCGGCTCCCTGACTCCCTTCGCGTAGTCAGGGACCACTTCCTCTCTGTTTGCCCCACCACTCTCACCGTTGACCTCCTCGAGAAGTCCCTCCTAGCAGCAGAGAAGAGCATAGTAGCTGTAGGAGCCTCTCGTGGTGACGCTCGCACCCCCATCTTTGAGGGGTGTTCCCCCTCCCCCCTTTTGCCCTCTGTTGCCTCTGCTGCTGCGGCCGACCTCGTTGGGCTTGAGTCGGTCGGTGCGGCGTCTACCCCTAGCGGGAGACGCCGCCCTGGCAAGGGCAAGGGGGGCAGGGGCACTGGAGGAGCTAGCGGGGCCGGTGGAGGCGGCGGTGGAGGCGGTGGAGGGGGTGGGGGTGGCGGTGGGGGTGGTGGCGGGGGTGGAGGTGTCGGTGGTGGCAGTGGAGGCGGAGGCGGCGGCGGCGGTGGCGGTGGGAGCGGAGGTGGCGGCGGTGGAGGAGGAGGCGGCGGAGGAGGTGGAGCTGGTCGGGGTGGCGCTGCGCAGAGAGTCGGCTCCGGTGGTGGTCAGCGCCAGCAGCAGCAGCAGCAGCAGCAGCGCACTCGTGACATCCCCTCCCCTCAGCAGCTCCGTGAGTGGTACGCTGCACGCCAGAGGGGTTGGGGTACTGGTCCGTGCACCTACGTCCTCCGCACCGGCGACCGCGCGGGTGAGCAGTGCGGGGGTGCGCACTCCACCCAGCGCTGCTTTGGCCGCCTGACGGACGCTTGGCGTCACCAGTTCCCTGAGGCCACTGAGATCCCCCGCTGGGGTGAGCTGTCTAGGGCGGGTGTGGCTGTCTTTGACCTTGACTTTGATGCTATTCTTGCTGCCATGTATACTGTGACTATTAGTGATGAGGGTGACTGTTACCGGTGTTTTCCGCCCGACCCGGGCATTGAGACTGCTGCTCTAGGTACTGGTGAGGCTGCTGCTCTAGGTGCTAGCGAGGCTGCTGCTCTAGGTGCGTCTGCTCCCTCAGGTGCTGGTGAGTCTGCTCTCTCAGGTTCTGCGTCGGCCTCGGCCTCCCACACCTTCACCCTTGACTCGGGGGCTTCTCGCTCCTTCTTTCGAGACCGCACCACACTCACGCCGCTTGGCCGGCCAGTTGCGGTCTCTCTGGCAGACCCCTCTGGGGGTCCTGTCCTTGCTCACTTCTCCAATGTCCTCCCGTGTCCGGCGGCCCCCCTCTGGCACCCTGTCTGGTCTTTACCTCCCCTCGTTCTCTACGAACTTGGTGAGTGGTGCTGACCTACAGGATGCGGGGGTTCACCAGTTCACTCCTGGGAGTCAGCGGGTGACCCACTGCACGGACGCTCGGACTGGCCGACACCTGGCCACGTTTACCCGTCGGCCGGGGTCGAGCCTGTACACCCTGACCACTGCGTCTCCTCCAGTCACTGCGTCTGGTCAGGTAGCTGCGTCAGGTCAGGTGTTTGCTGCAGCGTCCAGGTCTGGTCCTGAGTCTGCCCCCTGTTCGTGTCGCCTCCTGTCTCACGAGACTCTCCTCTGGCACCACCGCCTTGGTCACCCCTCCCTGCTTCGTCTCCGAGGCATGGCCTCCCGTGTCCTTGTCTCTGGTCTTCCCCGGTCCCTCCCTCCCCTTCCTCCGGGGCCTGGCCCTACCTGCGTCCCCTGTGTCGAGGGGCGGCAGCGGGCTGCCCCTCACTCCTCCCAGTTTCCTCCGACAGAGGCCCCGCTGCAGACGCTTCACATGGACGTGTGGGGCCCGGCCCGCGTCCGTGGACAGGGTCACGAGCGCTACTTCCTGCTGGTGGTTGACGACTACTCGCGTTACACCACAGTCTTCCCCTTGCGCAGCAAGGGTGATGTCACTGAGGTGTTGATCGACTGGATCCGCGCAGCTCGTCTCCAGCTCAGGCAGAGCTTCGGTTCGGACTTTCCTGTTCTGCGTCTGCACTCTGACAGAGGTGGAGAGTTCTCCTCTGGCCTTCTGCGAGCCTACTGTCGAGCACGAGGCATCCGCCAGACCTTCACGCTTCCGGACTCTCCACAGCAAAATGGGATTGCTGAGCGCCGCATTGGCATGGTCATGGACGTCGCCCGTACGTCCATGATGCATGCGGCTGCCCCCCATTTTCTGTGGCCGTTTGCGGTTCGGTACGCGGCGCATCAGATCAACCTTCACCCTAGGGTCTCCAGACCGGAGACCTCCCCTGCTTTGCTGTGGACGGGGAAGGTTGGCGATGCGTCTGCGTTCCGTGTCTGGGGATCTCGGGCGTTTGTCCGCGACTTGTCTGCGGACAAGCTGTCCCCTCGTGCTGCTCCTTGCGTCTTCCTTGGCTTCCCCCCTGACGCGCCAGGGTGGCAGTTCTACCACCCCACCTCTCGCCGTGTTCTGTCCTCCCAGGACGTCACGTTTGACGAGTCGGTCCCCTACTACCGCCTCTTCCCCTACCGCACTCCGTCCCTCCCCCCACCACCGCTCTTCCTTGTGCCAGGTCCCCCCCCGGTAGACCCCCTCCCCCCTCAGG